AGATATATTTTCTTAAAACAAGATTACTTTTCTAATGTAAAATGCATTACAAGATTATTTTTCCTTTTTGGCAATAAATTCTTATTTTCCTGAGATTCCTTTTTGCAGTGTTGTGGTGAGAATCTGTCTTATTGTCTTCAAACTGGACCGTCTTTTAACTTATAACGACATTTCAATGTGAGGAAGGTCTTAAATACACTTTAAAATATAGTCAGTGAAATGCTGTTAGCAGTTGTATGAAGCATTAAAGGAAACCTTAGGATACATATTTAACACTTCTTTCTACTCAAGTGATTTACATAAGAATGATTTTAAATTGAAATGTTCCCTATTTTATGGCATTTAATGGAAATAAAGGAGAAGAATTGTTTTTCATGTGAAGCCCTTTGTGTTTCATTTTCTGTAGTTGTGATATAGGAATGTTTCCCTTACCACCAACTGATGTGCAGTGACAGAGTTAACATTTTATATTCAGAATAAACTTTCTACAACTTTCTGTAAACTCCCTCTACGTCCCTTCTTCCTTCCTTTCGCCTCCTTTTCTGCTTCCCTTCTGTCCTCGTTTCCTCCTTGGTTCCACCACTGAAGATCATTTAGTGTAAAATCAGCAGTATAAATATTGAACTGGAATCTTTTTGTGGTTTTGGGAACTGATCTTTCATCCACTACGTGTTTTCTACTACTCACTGTAGCCGAGCGAGTGAACACCAGAGGATGTGCCAACCTCACGCTGGTGTTAGACAACTGGAAATACGCCATCATGACGCAGGTCAAAGATCTGCTGCTGCATGACCACAACACCGTGCTTCCTGACTATGGAAGGTTATATTCTTTTCTAATCATAACGGGATGTTTTTCATGTCATTTAATCATTTGGCTTCACTCTCTGAACCTGAACACATCAAATAAATGCAGATTAAAATGCACAGATTATGATAGCCGAGGAATTGTTTTAGTGAAAATTGATGATCAAGTGATTATCAGGAGCCCTGGTTACACACATTTCAATTTCCACTCTAAATATGTCTTAAGATGAAATTTCAATCTTTAATTAGTTTAATTAAATGATTTTAAAAAGTCTCCGTGTTCCTTATCTAATCACTAGTTTGCTTCTACAGCCTCGTTGTGTTTAGGCTCACGCTCCTGCAAACTATTAAATTACAATTTGGAGGTTTTGTGTGGAGTCGACTGTGGAGTAGTTGGAACCGGAGCGATGCTAACTTCGGGGTTAGCCTACAAAAGACGTCATCCCTGCAGCACTGTACAATGAATATTGATATTGAAATATTAGTAACAATATAAATGTCATTTTTACCAGAACTCAAAATTAGCAAAGATGTCCCTGCCAAAAATAAAGGCAGCTATCTTGGATTTAGCATTCAGAGGCCCGTTCCCACCTTCAGTGCACAGACAATCCACCAGAGGGCAGAAAATACAGCAGGTTTTTCAGAGGTCTCAAAAACTTGAGTAGTAAATACAATACAGCTGAATTTAAGGCTCTTGTTTATTAATTCCCAATCACATGATCACTGTAAGTTTCTTTTAGTGTGAGTGAGCAGAGTAACTGACCTCTGACCGCTCTCAGGATCCAGCCGCTGTCCGACGCGCTGGGAGATCTCTACAAGGAGTTCAACGCCCTGAAAGAGCGCCTCGCCGAGCTGACCACCAAGTTTGACGGCGTGGAGGCCTTCGTGGACGACGTACGATTGGGAAGGAAGCCCGCACCGCCCCGAGGTGAACCCCGACCCCCGGGGTCGCTGCCAGGAGAGACGGAGGCTGAGGCAGGAGGTCGACCTCAAGGACGGAGAACCAGGGTCGTAGTTCGGAGAGTCAAGAAACCTGCTGGTTCACAGGACTGATGACGGAGCTTTGAGACAGAATTATGATCCTGTTATGTCTTATTATAATCTCTGAATGAGTTCAGTTCATCTGTTTTCTGCTACCATCGACAGTCTCAGACATTTTTATAAGTTATCTACTGCAGCTTTAATTGTCACAGTTATACAAATAATAAAATGTCCTTGTTGCTGAACCCAAAAGGGTTTAATTTATTTATTCATTCTTTTCTCATCTTAATGCTTCTGATAACCTCCCTGCATACTAAGACAAAGATTATACATGTTTTTCTTCTTGTACTGTGATTAAAGTACTGAACAGTATTTACACAGCTGTATTCTTTTTTCACCACTAGGTGGCCCCCCAGCATCAGGACCATGTTTATCCTTGATGGACAGGAGTGTGTATTCTGGTTCACACACTTATATATTTAAATGTGTGTAAACTTTGGGATGAATAAATATGTTGTTTATATCTGTGTATGAAAAAAAATTGTAAAACTTCAATTCATCATCATTCATCTTAGCAGTCTTGTAATAAAAATAATATTTTGTTTTGGACATGCATTGTGCTGTTTCTTTGTTTCTTCAAAATAAAAGCTTTTTGAAGTACAGTTTTATTGAGTTCTGACAACAAACTACACA